TTGCTTAGTGCAGCTCTTTCTCAGGTTAATGGGCACTTCATCACTCTCCGCTGCGCCGAGGCTCTGCTGAGCTTATGCTTCTCGATACGAATCGGCTTCTACGGAGCAGACGGTTTCCTTTTATCCCCTATCTGTGATTTAAATGACTGTTTTTTTTTTTTTTTGGAAACTCTGAATGAAGCCATATGTGAGCCAAGCACAAGCGGCCGGTGGAAGAAGCGCGACCGTGTAACTGTGCCGCTGTGTTCAAAGCGGTGGAGTGGAGTGCCACAACTTCCTGTTAATCTCACTACGGCTCCACGTTGTTATTTATATCAGTGGTATCAAGCTTCAGCTCTCTTATCCTGTTTAAAGGCTCCATTCATCACCACAAATGTCACAACGAGTCCACTGCTAAGGAGCAACGACAAAATCCCCTTTTCTTTTAAGGTTCGGTTTTCACCTTCTTAGTGGCACTATTTTTTTTGTTGCGGTTTCTCGGGGTTGAAATGTTCCTCTGCTCTGCTTGAATCAGAAGGTGCAGAATTTGAGAGGGTATTTATAGACTTCTAATGAGATGCAGTGAGAAATGAAAAGGTGTATAGATCAGAAGCTTCTCTGTGCAGATAATGAGTCATCCGGGTCAAAGAGCTTCGGCAGAAGTCAACAGGATTCTTCTCTGGTTTGGGTCGGATGGGTTTTCACCCACTCTTCCGGCCGGTTCAGATGTTTCCCTGGAGTTAGTTGTCTTTGAGTGGAAGGTTTGGGATTTTTCTTTGCCCTTTTCAATAAACGTAGATATTTCCTCCGTAGCTGTACTTTCTGGAGGGTTTGTTCACTCCGGTCATAACAAAGCGGATCTCTTATTCTCTCACTTAGCAGCTGGTCGTGCGTCTTCAGTACTATCTGTCCTTAGCCGAGGTATAAGCTGTTAGAGATGAAACGGAAGAGGTGGTTTATGTAGTCTGAAAGTTTCCCTGACACCTTCTTGTACCACTTAAAGAAGCAAAGTCGTGCCGATTCCCCGCCATCCAGGTCACGGTAATCCTAAGAGCTTCGGTAAAAAGCAACTGCACTTCTCTTTCTTGGTTCTTGAAACCCGTTCACCTCTCATCCAAGAGGCCTTCTCCGGAAATCACAACCGAGGACTCGACACACTTCAAACAAGCAGGATATGCACCTAACCCAGAGATCTCCAATTGCCGTCCTCATGAGCTACTGTCCTGCAGGTTCTCGACCAGGGGTGTCCAATCCCGGTCCTCGAGGGCCACAGTCCTGCATGTTTCAGATGTTTCCCTCTTCCAACATACCTGATTCAAATGATCAGGATCGTTATCAGGCTTCTGCAGAGCTTGATGATGAGCTGATCATTTGAATCCGGTGTGTTGTAAGAGAGAAACATCTAAAACATGCAGGATTGTGGCCCTTGAGGACCAGGATTGGACACCCCTGGTCTAGATGTTTCCGTACTGCAGCACACCTGATTCAGATTTATGGATCTCCAACAGCTTGTTGTCAAGTACGGAAACGTCTAAAACCTGCAGGACGGTGGCTCACGAGGACCTGAGTCGGAGATCCCTGGTCTAACCCGACCGGAGAGCTGAAGAAGCCCATTGGATGAGAGGTGAAGCATCTCCAAGAACCAAAAAAACACAAGTCCGGTTGAGCTTATTGGGATACACATCATGAATAGAGCTGGTGACTAGTTTGTTTTGTACAGTTGACAAAAATAAAAAGAGGATTTGTTTTCTTTGCCTTTGCATGACGACACAGAGACTATAATCAGTGCTGAAGTATTTCCCCATGATGTGTCTGAAAGTGAAAGTGAAACTCAGAGACTCAAACAGCAAAATCTGTCTGTTTTGTTTTAACACTAATCCTCAGGCTGCGGTGTTCCGGGTGGGTTCTGGACACTGGTAAATGTCTGGCATGTAGCTGCTCCACTGGATCCCCGTGACAGCTACGGGGAAGTGTCGTGTTGCGTTCCAGCTGCCTGTCACTCAACAATCTGGTGTGGTTTCATTCCTACACCTGACACTGCGGAGCTGCACGTCTCCGGCCCGGAGCTCCGTAAAATGGCGTGTACGGGCCTGTGCAGCTGTAAAACAGAAACGCGGCTCAACGCAGCGCTTCTCCGTCAACACACGGACAGCTACGGCTACGGCATTTCTTCTAAACAAACAGGTGTACGCGTGAAATCTCACCACACTGCGGTTTCCGCTCGTGTCTCGCAGCGCCAGTCGGAACTCTCCGGCTCGGCTCGGGTCCATGCTGAGCTGGAGCCGCAGAGCCTCGCTGCCCGCTCCGGGGAGGCACAGGGGTCGGATCCCGGAATGGCACACCGAAACGCGGACTGACATTAGAACCGTACTGCAGCAAGCCGTCGGCGCAGGCCCGCCGCATGCAGCCTGTTGGGACGAGGCAGGGACCGGGGCTGGAGGAGCCCAGCCGCCCGAGCTGAGTGCCATGTTTCGGACACCGGAGGCGGACTGAGGGTCGCTGCTGCCGCCCGCTTCTTCTGCGGGGGGTTTATAAGGTCCGCCGGTGCTTGAGGACGGCGTGTTTCTTCACGGACAGGCTGTGGTTGTCTCCTCGCCCCGCAAATTCTTCCATATCTACCCGACCCGAGCGGACAAGAAAAACAAAACAGGAAGCAGCGGAGTACGTCTGTTAATTCGCTCCGTAGAGAAACACGCCGTGAAACATCCGACCTCACAGAAAGCACGAAGAAAAAACAAAAAGCAAGATATGAAAGACACAGAGAGAAACGCTGCTTTTATTTGTTTTAGTTTTAATACACCGCTATAAAAAATGTAATTTGAAAAACTGATTAATTATAAATAGATTTAAATAATTATGAACACACGGGTTCTATTAACTGCTATTTTCATGACTTGGATTGTCCACTGCAAAAAAAAAGAAAGAAAGAAAAACAAAGAGACAAAATAAACCTAAAAAATAAATACCAAAATGTTAATTAAGCCTGCTTTTGTTTGTGTTTTACAGACTGGCAAACTACAGAATACTACAGAATAAACATTTCATTATTTTAATTAAATATATCAATAAAGAGTTCCTTTGTTTGTCCTGGAAATAGAATAGAATGCCTTTATTGTCACTATACACATGTACAATGAGATTGAGAAATATAAAAGTTGACAATAAAAATCTTCTATTCTACTCTAAAAAAAAAAAACTATATAGACAACCTGAATAACGAGCACACACAATTTCTAGAACAATTTTTTTTAAAATGATAAAATATATGAACGAATAAATATACAAACGGTAAAAATAAAGTATGCAAAGTGCAGACAGGTTATTTACAGGTAGTTTAGAGCAGACTGCTTCATTCAAAGAAAAAAGAGAACTTGTTCTTACAAATCCAGAATGAGCTGGTTCCAGCAGCGTGCAGCACGATGACTAAACACTATTTCACTGCTTGTGGTCTGACCTTTGAGCATCACTAACTGGACAGATGACATATTTCGAGCCCAGTACATTCAGAGACTTATAGACGATAAGTAGGGCCTCAAATTGAATTCTATATTCACCTGGAAGCCAGTGCAGGCATGTAAGAATCAGAGTAATGGTGTTTGTCAGCAGCAGTTTGAATGAGTTGCACATGTCTAATGGTCTCATCAGGGAGGCTGCTAAGAAATGCATTACAGTAGTGAACTCAGCAGGACCATAACCACTCCAGTAATGGCAGTTTTTCAATGTCCTTTAATTGCCATTACTGCACAGGTGGAGCAGAGTGAACCGACGCAGACCAAAAACAGAATCTCCAGTCCGTATATCAGTGGATGTTATTCGATGATACGCAAGAAATGAAAATACAGCGGTTTTCCTCTGGTGAATCTGGTATCTGTGCTGGTCTGATGCTGGTCTGCGTCGGTTCACTCTGCTCCACCTGAACATTGAAAAACTGCCATTACACTGAAGTGAGAACTGTTGGCTCTCCCCCTGCCTGTGCCCTCCTCTTCCTGTCACCTATGCCCTCTACATATACACCCCGTGTCCAATTACCGCCACCATGTGTCCAAACAATCCATATTAAACTACCTGCCAACACCAAACATAAATGGCTCCTACAATTACCGTGAGCTCATTTCTATGATATTTTGCATTTTCATTGTTTATTTCATTTGCAAGAAAACCAGCATGAAAGTCCAGTAGGAGCTGTGATCTTACTCTTTTAAAAACAGTTTATAACAAATATAATTGCAAAAAATGAATTGGTTATTGATAAAGTAGCAACACTTAAAAGGACAAATAAACACTTTAGCAGAAAAGAGCGAAATGCTGCACAAAGACAGGTGGCTCAGGATTTGAAGGATTGCACAAGAGGATTTATAAGCCCCTCTGAAAAACTAATGTTTCACTTGGCTCTGCTTGGACGCTCTTCTTGTCTTTAATATCTTGGTTGAGATATTAAAGCCGCTGCTCTCCCCCACAAGAGAATAAAAAATCACCCTGAAAACCACACATTCTGCTTTATTGCACTGTGGGGTTTGTTTTTTGTCAAAGTTTCTGGTTCATAGCACAAGTTCTAAAGATATGTTGGCAACTATATTGTCAGGCTTCATCAGCAGATTCACAGAAAAGCATCTAAAATACGCCCTAAGTGGGACTACCTGGGAGCAGCCACGGGAACTTCAGAGTAATGCGAGCTGTTTGCTACGAGCCAGTTAAAGCTTATGCAGCAGCCAGCAGTCATCTATCAACTCTATCAAGTATTTTGTGAGGCATGAAAACAATCATTGTAGAAGTTGGACCTCTTGTGACTGTGTGACTGATGTGACCTGTTTTAATTTTTAATTTTACTTACTTATTTCTGGTGTTTGTATTGAGAAATAGCAAAACAGCGGTTATGATTTGCTTGATTTTATGTGTTTTAAATAATTTTGTCACAGCTGATAGACTTAATATTGACAATATGTGACTCAAAATAAACTGTTTAATTGATCAATGATTAATTCAAACCTCTGTTACAAACTGTATCCACATAGGTTGGAGCCTCTGTGCTTCAAATACGTCAAGTCGTGCACTGTCAAGACAAAAAGTTAACACATAAATACGTGAGACGCTGTTCAGTCGTTGCTGTTGTAAGTAACTGAATGGCAGAAAAATACACCCTGCAAATGTTGGAACAGCCTGTCCTTACATTTCTGTTAATAAGGCACATATTAGCACATTACTTTCATGTATATCGTTAACTGCCTTTAATTTGACCTGCAGCTCAGCTCAGATTGCCTCAACACAGCTGAGAGAAGTCACAGACATGTCTGTCCTGCAGGAGATCAGCCCCAACGTGAAGAACATCAAGCAGTCAGAGTATGAAGTGCTGGCCAGTCGAGCAAGCCAGATCGAGAAGGAGCTCAGTCAGGTAAAGACGAAAAGAGTTGCAATATATGGAGAACAGAGTCAGCTTTGCAAACTGTGGCGTGACACCTGGATTCTCTGAATTTGCCCATCCGTAGGGAGTGAGGAAGCCCTACAAAGAGCTGATTGACGTCTGCTGGTGTGATCCACACAGTGTCGGCGTGAAGCCTCTGACATTTGTCCGACAGGTGAGCTGTGACTTTGAGAAACGACGCAACCTCATTCATCTAATTCAGGTTTTGTTATTGGACTAAAAAATCCACTGTATCTCCCAGGTTCTCGCAGCGTGTGTTTACCCTCAGCTTATGAAGAGCCACGAGCTGCCGCTGGATGTCAGGCAGAGGGCTCAGTGGCTGCTGGGGAGATGTGATGGAGGGAGCGTAGGTATGGGCTGCATGTGTGTGGTCTCATGAGAAAGAAAATATAAGTCAGTTCCCTGAAATTCCAAAGAACATACTTTACGACTTACCTCCAGACATGTGGACAGCGGGGCCTCCAGATTTCTATTTTTTATTGAGTTGGTCAGATGAGGCCAGGAAAAAATCTTGGGGTGACTCACAAAAACCCAAAGACATAAATAACTTTAAGTTGGTCTATTATGCTGTCACTGAGGTTGTATGAAAACTATGTCAACATGAGGGGGAAGGAATTCTGTGGTTTATTATAATACAGCTAATGTTACTGATTATCTGATGTCGGGTTATATTGTTGTTAATGTTCGTGGCCATGATGCTGCTGTATTTGAGGGGAAAATAATCACTTACAGGTCAAACATTTGTACTTTAACTATGTTTCTAACACTGAGAATTCTGTCCAAAACACTTAACATAACTAAAATAATTGGACTTTTTACTTTTACACTAAAACTATCTGTAAACTATCATTGTTCAGAGCATCACCGATTAAATTCCATCGTCAACAACTGTAATAATTACTATTAAAGGCAAATATCCCAAAACTGAAGCAGTTTCCGCTGTTGGTTTTTGATATCTTGGTCATTTTTAAAAAATTATTTGTAATGATTTATAGGCCAAACAATGAATCCATTTATCAAAAAACAAACACAAAAAAGAAAAACTACAGATTAATCAGTTACGAAAAAGAACAATTACAAATATTAAAGAAATTGGGTGAAAAACGAAAAAAAAAAGGTAAAGCACATTATTATTTCTTGATTAAGATGTCAAATTATAGTTATTTACTTGCATTCCTGAACAGAAAAGTTAGTTTTAGAGGTTGAATGTGATGCTTGATTAGTTTTCTCAAAGAAGCCCAGTGGCTCAGATTTGGGTATAAAAAGGTGAATTCAGTTTGAAATTCCTCATTCCTGTTCAAAACGGGGAAACGTGGAGCGATGAGTCAGTATTAAAGCACTTCATGACGCTGGATGGTCTATAAATATACACACAGTGCTTAACAGATTAGACAAATGGTTGAATACATTTGTTGAACACTGTATACAGATGTTCGCAGATGACATAACTCAATTCATACAACAAAAATTTAAAAGAATTCCATGATATAGCTTACAATAAAAAAAAAAAATACTAATGGTAAATGGTCTGCACTTATATGGGGCCTTCTTCTACTTTAGCGGTACCCAAGGCGCTTTGCAATGTGTTTCTCATTCACCCATTCACACCAATGGAGTCAGAGCTGCCATGCAAGGCGCTGATCTGCCATTGGGAGCAACTTGGGGTACAGTGTCTTGCCCAAGGACAACCCACTCTACCACCTGAGCCACAGCCACCCCTCAATGACATATTTTTAATGACAATAACATTGACATTAAAAATACAATAAAGATATACTAATTCATCTGCTCTATGGTGCCTTTGCAGCTTTACTTATGTGTCTGTGTGTTTTGTGGGAGTTTTACAGAAGCTTTGTTTCCTTCTCAGGTTCGTACAATGCTCAGCCATGTATACCGGAAATAATAGAGAAAGTGTCTGAATTCACAACAAGGCGAGACGGTGGCGTTCCATCTTACCCTGAAAATATATTCATCTCCACCGGATCACAGTGGGCGATCATGGTAGCACCTTTACATACATGTGCGGTTTAGACTCGTCCTGCTGAAGATCAAGGTGACACAATGTGGGGTTGTTTTTTTTTTTTTCTTCTTTAGGACATTCTAAATGTCTTGGTCAACAGCGAGGCTTCACCCAAAACAGGTGTGCTAACTCCAGCGCCATGCCACGTGACCAGCATGATGTCCATCACGGCGCTGGGAGCAGCTGCCGTCCCCTACTACCTGACCGAGGAGCAGGGCTGGACGCTGCAGGTGGAGGAGCTACAGCGAGCGCTGGAGTCCGCAAAGGGAGTCTGTAACCCGGTCGCTCTGTATGTCATCAACCCTGGAAACCCAGCAGGTGAGCACGGGTCACCTCAGTGTTTCGGTTTTTATTGGGGAATGCATATCATAAAGTTATTTCCATGCACCATTGCCTGTAGGTCTTGTTCAAAGCAGGAAATCAATGCAGGAAGTGATCCGGTTTGCTTCAGAGAAGAGACTCTTCCTTCTGGCTGATGAGGTGCATGTCTCAGGGTAATACTATCCACCCAAGCGTAAATGCATCCGTGCAAATCCACTTATGAATTTACACCTCACTCCTCAGGTCTATCAGGACTTTGTTTACGGGGAAAACAGAGAGTTTGTCTCGTACAAAAGGGTTCTGGCCGAGATGGGGCCTCCGTATTCAGACACAGTGGAGCTGGTCTCCTTCCACTCAACATCCAAAGGCTTCATGGGAGAGTAAGTGTTCAGTCCTGGTTAATAAATAAAGCGTGCAACAGATGATTAACAAAACAGTTAAAGAACAACCTGCAGGTTGGCAACCCCAGTGAATTAATGTGTAGGAAAACGATGCAGAAACTAGAATTTAAAAAATGATTAAAACCGTCTCAATATGTTATTCAGTAACAGAGTTTAGTCAGGTTGGTCAAGCTAGGCCAAGTTTAACAAGAAGAAATACTCAATCTACAGTAGGTTTGCGGTCAAAAATGTATATTAATATACATTTGATGTCATAATTAGGAGGCTGCCGGGTGTCAAAGAGCTCAGGAACAGAAAAATATTAAACAATCTCATCACAAGATCGACATTCAATTGTAAATGTCCCCACTTATCATTTATAAAGAGTAAATGTTTAATAAAATACAAATAAGGCACTATAGTTTGCTGTAATTGGACACTTTTAAAAGTTTATTAATGCACAGTATTTATTATTATTATTCCAGTTACGGTTGCAGTTACATTTGCTTACATGGCAATGCGACACACAACGCTCATTAAATATCAATACAGCTCTTAAAGTCTCACTGAAAAGTCCTTAAAGTGCTCCACACTTTTTCCTCCCTGCAATTCCATGACTACTGCTGTGTAACCTAATGTGACCCAAATGAAAGCTCTGGAGCAGACACGAGGCCGTTCTCGTCCTCCAGGTGTGGAATGCGCGGCGGATATGTCGAGCTGGTAAACCTGGACCCCGCTGTTCAGAAGCACATCTTCAAACTAATAAGCAAAAGCAGCTGTACGCCCGTGCTGGCTCAGATGGCCCTGGATCTGATGGTGAACCCTCCACAGCCAGGAGACCCCTCGTACCCCCTTTATAATCAGGTGAGCTAGTGCCGCTCCAGTAGGGTTTGATTAAAGGATTTGCCATCAATCTAGGATGTCGTTTTGGTCTTCTGCAGCAGACGCAACACATCAAGAACATGCTGGCTCAAAACGTGAAGACGACCCACGAGGTTCTCAACAGCCTGCCAGGTGTCATCAGCCAGCCGGTGGAAGGAGGCGCGTTTGTGTTCCCCAGAGTGTTCCTCCCACCTAAAGCCATTCAAAAAGCCGAAGTAATGACGCCACGCACAGCACGAAGAACACAACAGCAACATGGCACCAAGAACGGGTTATAAAATGTGATATCTGTGGATGTTTCAGGAAGAAGGAATGCAACCAGATACCTTCTACTGCGTCCGACTACTCGAGGAGACGGGAGTTTTATGCTGTCCTGGTTCAGAGTTCGAACAAAAGGAGGGCACCTACCACATCAGGTACAACCTAACATATACATCTCACTGCCACATAAAGATGTTTTCGGATGTGGTGCGGTTAAGTACTCTGTTTCATTGTTAACCGATCGCTATTATAAAAGGAACATGACGTGATGGTTGCATTTCACACCTCAGGTCTTTCACCCTCTTTGCAGATTTTGCATCACGGCTTCTCAGGACATCGTGAAAGAAGTACTGAGACATCTGACTACCTTCCACACAAAGTTTATGAAGGACTTCTCCTGAACAACAAAAAAAAAGGACGTGTGTCGGCTCTCGCTTTCAAGTGACAGAACGATCAAACTGTTCTCCTAATGTGCGTGTTTATTGCAAATAATGAATTAATTTCTGCATGCAGTCGACTTCAGCGACCTTCGGCCAGTCGTCCTCCTGCTTTACTCATTTGAGTAACATCCAACTTCTGCTTTTTTAGAAAGCAAATAACCATTAAATACAAGTCCAAAATCCAAATGGATTTTTCCATGGAGTTCTTTCATCATTAATCTAAAAAAAATAATAGCAGTCCACTGTGTATTTCTGCTGCTCAAAGGCTTCCCAAGTAATTCAGAGCGTTCACAACTGACTCCAACATTCACAACATCTTAAACAAGAAATCCTTTGGTTCCTCTGTACCAGCCGGCGCATCCAACACGCACGTGGAAAAACCAAACAGACATACATCACTGTCAATCCACCTCACAGTCGCTGTTGTGATTCTGAGCAAAAGGCTTCGACTCCGTGTTGTTGAGCAGCTCCACCAGCAAGGCGACGAGGTCCCCGTCTTGATACGAGTTCGTGCTCGTGCCGCTGGGACTGTTGAGGTTTCGGTACAGCATGGTCTGAATGGAAGTGCGGAGCTCCCACAGCAGCTCCCACGTCTCCACTGGCAGCTCGCAGTGCACCAGAGAGTGTCCAGGAAACGATACTTCCACTCTGTCTCCGGTCACTGGGATGAGAAAAGAAGAGGAGTGCTTAAGTGTGGGGAGAAGCGGTGCTGTCAGCGATTTGTACAAAATACACTTTTATTACACAGTCTGAGCAGATAAGTCTACAAGCACTCCACAAAGGAAGTGCAAAAGCATTGTTACGCCAACACAGAAGAAGTTATTTTCCCTGGTTGGAAAAACAACTGAACTAAAATGAGCATTTTTGTCAAGATGAAGGAGGACAGGTCATTTTTCTGTGCCACAGCCAAAAACAGTGAAAGAAACACACGTGCAGAAATGGCAAAAATGTACGGAAATTAAGTTTGAATTATTCCTCAGACAAAAGGTTGAATTAGCTGCTGTTGCATAAAACCTCCAAATCTCTGACACAAATGTGGAGAGCATGGACAGTGGAGGAGTCGGATTTTAACAAGGTTTAGATTTTTTTGATAAACTGTTGATTAGTTAAACAGTGGACATGATAAAACTGGTGGAATGTGCTTCTAAAAAGGCTAAATATCAGCCCAGTAGTAAACAGTCAACATGATTTTAGACTGAACAAAACAACCGCTCTGTCTGATGAGCAGGCTAAGGTTTAGCTTCAACCCTGCAGTGCCTACAAATAGTTGATCTGTCACAGAAAAAAGCCAACTTCCCACCTGTCTCTGTGACATCACAGTCTGTGAACAGTAGCAGGGCGAGTGGATGCACAGTAGACGAGTCTCTGACGAAGACACAGTCGCTGGACTTGACTGCGCTGAAGAAGGTCAACCATCGACTAGGGAGATCCTCTTTTCCTCTACAGCAGAGAGGAAAACCGAAAGTTAACATCCATATTATGTAAAGAAGTGATGCAATTCACTTGTTGAGCGCGCTCACACCTGTTCACAGAGGAGCGGTGAAGCAGCACGGGCCCACTGAATGTGCGTAAAGCTACGTTGTTGGGACGAAAGCGTCCTCCTTTGGTCACAACACCTTTCTTCACCTGGAAATAAAGCAGGAGAATTCATGTTGAGCTGGAGTGTAAGTGTAATGCAAAGCTAGCAGCAATAAGGAGCTGTAGTTAAAGCATCTGGCAAGACAAGCACAAGTAGAGCAAAGAACAAGAACACAATATTATGAAATGCTACTTTACAACAAAGGAACAACAACGAGATACACCTGAACAACTACAAAAATACTTTTCCATTGCCAGTTCTTTGGGGGAGCACAGCAGGAAACGAGTCCCTCTGGGAAGGTGCCACCTACCTTGATGAGGTTGGGATACAGTCCAGCCAGCAGCACAGCTTTAAGCAGCTCATCCTGTCGGCTGTGCTCGTTGTAGAGGGAATTGGGACGCTGGCACTCATTGGCCCGAGAAACCAGCCCTGCTTCACACAGGTTGTCGCTGAACTGAGACATGAGGCCTGCAAGAGGACGAAACCAGAACAGGAATCATGCTGAGAACGTTAACAAAAAAGAGCAGGCAGTTTGCACTCAGACAAGTGCACTCAGACAACGTTTAAACGTGCGATTCAAACTGACCGTTGATAAATCGAAGGCTGCCTGCGGACAGACTGTATTCGGCCAGATATCTGTCCCGGTGCTCTCGGTTGCCCTCGTACTGAGCCTTCCTCCAGCCCAGAACAGCTCTACTGAACACCAAATAGTCGCTACAGCTGGAGCCGCTCAGAGCCGCTTTTGCCTGGACAAACACACACAGGTGATTGGATGATGAATTAATGTGTTAGATTCAAGTCAGATGTATTTGTCTTAAACTGCGTGGAAAAATAAAACCAACTGTAAAGACAAGTGACTGACTGAGTATCTGCTTGACAATTTTCCAACTCTAACGACTTCTGTCTGAAGCGATGACTCGAGCTGATCGGTCAATGGTGAAATGAGTACAGCGTTTAACAATTTGATATGTGTATTCTTACATAATTATTTATGTTGTGCGCTTGTTACTGTAATAAAACAATTTCCCTTGTGGATCATTAAAGTTTATCTAAGAGCATAGACTTAGACTATGAAACCAGAAGTTTACATCCACTGTATGAAAAGACTAAAACACCCTTTTTTTCCTCACTATCTGACATTAAATCAGACTAAACTTTTCCTGTTTTAGGTCAGTTAGGATTACCAACATTATTTCTATTTGTGAAATGCCAGAATAATGAAAGAAAATTTTTTTTAATATAATTTTTTTATGATGAAGTGCTTTAATACTGACTCATCGCTCCACGTTTCCCCGTTTTGAACAGGAATGAGGAATTCACCTTTTTATGCCCAAACCTGAGCCGGCTTCACTGGGTCACAAATCAATCAAGCATCACATTCAACCACTAAAACTACATTTTTCTGCTCAGGAATGCAAGTAAACAACTATAATTTGACATCTTAATCAAGAAATAATAATAATAAAGTGCTTTACTAGTTGTTATAAAACACTAAAATTGAAAATTCATGGATAACAATAATTAGATTTCAGCATTAGAATCATAATTTGGGTTAAAGAGCTTCTACATACGGGTGTATTTATCATTACAGACACACAAGACATGATTTTGCTAATTGCCAAAGCAGCTGTCGGGAAGCTGTAGCATAAACCCGACACCGGGCCAAGAAATGTGTTAAGCTCTGTGTATCATTTATCAAGCTCTTGTAACAGCATCTCACCTTATTGACCAGCGCTCTGTTCTGCAGGCTGTTGTGAAAGGGGTCTCTGGTGAGGCAGGCAGCGATGGACAACATGGGCAGGACGCATCTGAACATGGTGCTCAGGACCAGAACCTTCCCCAGCCGCGGGTCGCACGGCATGCAGGCAACACGCTCTCCTAAAGCAGTCAAGGTCTCCTTTTTGTCCAGAACGCCTGCCACAAGGAAAACATGGAAACTGATTCAACTCCGCCCCAAAATGGCCGCCACCAGTACAAGAACGCCAGTCGCTGCGAGTCACTCACCGATATCTTGTAGATTTCGGACAGCGTCTCTCACAGATTGCTTGTCTGGACTGTTCAACACTTGGGATAAGAAAGCCACAGCCTCCACACAGCAAAAATAACAGAGTATTATTTAACAGCAGAAAGACAAAGAACATAGTTTAAACAATGCACCAAAAGCTGCTCTGTCACTACCTTGGAGTCAGGACTGTGGATTTTGGCCTGCACTACTAAACTCTCGAGTGGGGTACGCAGGATCTCAGGGATGGGGAAGGGAGTCATGGATTCCAGCTGTTTTCTTGGGAACAGGTGGTAGGACTGCCCTGGCTGGCATCGTCCTGCTCTCCCTTTTCTTTGCGTGACGTTAGAGCGGGATATCCAAACTGTGTCCAGACAGGAGACCTGCAAACCCACATTGATGGATTGGTGGTTGGAGGTTTGTTGTCGTTTTACTACAAACAGCAAGATTATTTTCGGTGACACGTCCTGACAATAAACAAGATTTACAGGCAAATACTGACCTTAGTCTGCGGATCATAGTTCTGCTCTTTGTGAGTTCCTGCATCCACCACATGGACAATGTCATCGATTGTAATGGAGGTCTCAGCAATATTGGTGGCGAGTACAATCTTCCTCTGGCCCACTGGGGGGCGCTGGAACACTGACTGCTGGTCAGCCACTGACAAACTAGAGTGCACTGAAAGAGTGATGGAAGGAAGTTTAAAGTAGTTACACCAGGGGAAATAAATTCCTCTAAACCTTGAAGACAAACATCAAGTCTTGGTAAATCTGTCTGTGCTTTCTTACATGGCACGATCAACGGGGAACCGGAAGAAAAGTGTCGTTTCTCTTCAAGTTTCTCTTGGACTATCCTGATGTCCTGCCACCCAGGGAGGAAACACAGCACTGCACCTGAAGAATGACAGCAAGGAGTTCTGATAAATACGATTAAATCCAAAATTTAAAAATCTACAATAAAGGCAATTTCAGAAACGGCGTATAAGTTACCTGGTTCTCCGTGTTTGTCAATGTGCTCTATGACATCAGCTACTAAATCCAGATCTGGTGAGACGTCGTCTTTGACCCCCTTTAGCAAGATAGGATACGAACTCATGAGACACAGGACGAGAAAAACAACCGCCTTGAATATATTTAAGTCAAATAAATACGACAATGAAAAAGCAACAAATCCTTGAGTTTCACCTGCTTGACCATCTGCGCTCTCTTGACTGGCGGTGGGCGTCCCATCTCCCTCAGCACGTCCTCCAGGTATAGGTCTCTTACCGGGTGCATGAACCCAGGCACCTTTATAATGGGGCAGCCTCCGAAGTACTTAGCCAGCCTCTGGTTGTCCCCAGTGGCGCTCATGAGCACGACTCGAAGGTCAGGGTTCTCATCTAAGCTGGAGCGCAGCAAGGCCAGCAGCAGGTCCGTGTTGACGTCTCTCTCGTGCACCTCGTCCACCACCACATGACTGATTCCCTGAAGGTTCCGGTTGGACTGCAGCTTCTTCAGGAGGACGCCGACGGTGAGGAAAAGCATGGCTCCTCCGCTATGCTCTGGGGGTTGACTCTCGAGTCTCACCTACGAGCAAAGAAGAAACATTATACCAACTCCATACTATTATTATTATTCATAAAATATTTATAGATTTCTTCACTTAAGTAAATAATTATAACCATATTAACAATATAATAGAAGGCATCATCGCCTTAAAAGCCTTTAGGGTGCTACTAGGCAGAAACAAAAGCCTAAATCACAATACCACCACGGAAATAAACAAAAAATGTGTCATTTTTACATCTGACTTGAACAGAAAAACAACAAAAATGTTCAAAGTAAGCAATAATTCTGGTATTCTCAGTTGTAATTAGACACAAACTCTCTTAAAAAGTGTGTTGGGAGCTTTAAGAGGTAGTTTGGACAAAACATACGGCACAGCTCTTTTAAAACTAAAAAAGTTAATTTATATCTGAAAGCAGTTGCAATAAATTTTCACAAAACAAAATCTCAGAATAACAAAATCAAGATATTCAAGATATCAGGCTTTTTATTTCTACTCCTGCCAAGAAAAAGGTGCAACTGCAATGAAAAATAATCTCAATTACTATAGTTTTTAATGCTTAACTTTATCCTTCAGTCTATAAATATCTGAATATAGTCAAAAGTGATCCTTTACAGTTTTCTCAAACCGAAAGTCTTGAAGTTGTGGAAAGTTTCCCAACAAAATAAAGAAAATCAGAAAATCAGTTCCAGCACTAACTGACGTAACGCAGTAGACAACCCAGTACTCTATGAAGCTGTACCCACCTGGTATCCCACATTGTTTTTAAGACCCGGACCCATCTCCTGAGCAACGCGGTGGGCCACCGACACGGCGCTGATCCGACGAGGCTGAGTCACCAGGATGTTGCAGTCGGCGCCCCTGCCACCTCTCACGTGCTCCTCCAGCAGGAAGCGGGGGATCCGAGTTGTTTTGCCGCATCCCGTGTCCCCGGCGATCACCACCACCCTGGAGGACGCCACAGCCGAGACCACGCGCTGGCGGTGGGCGTCAACCGGGAGCTCCACGTTCAGTCCGGGGTTTGCGTTCTCCCATTCCTCCTGCAGGTAGGCGTTGAGCTGCTGAGTCTCCGACTCGGACAGACGCTTGAGCGGCTTGCTCGTGATGGCGTCGGTCACAAAGTCCTCCTTGTCCTCCTCGTTCTCCTCATATGCTTCGTTTGCAGCCTGCTCCCCTCTTGCCTCCTCATCCTCCTCCCATAGCTTCTGTACTTCTGCTGCCACTGGGTACTGTTAAAAAGACGAGGAGGGTTAGTTTTGACGTAATTAGGGGAAGGGAAGCATGAAAATAGAATAGAATGGACATACTTTATTAATGCGAGGGGAAATTACAGCAGAAAGAGTAAAGTCAACATAAATACAGATAAATAAGCGAAAATATGCAGTAAGTCAAAATAAAATGCACAATAAACACTCTGAGTAAAAATGTCCCAGAGTTCACTAAATAACTGAAGTGTTAAAGATTCACTTTACTTCACTGAAGTTTTCTTTTTGCATTTCATACAAAATAAGCAATTCCTCTAAATTGTGTGAAACCACTAAATGTCCTTTCTACCATTTAATTAAAAGAAAAAAACGTTGCAGCTCCAGTTTGCTGCTGCATGTAGGCTTAAAAAAAAGGTTAAGGCACTGTCCACTCAAAAACACATCCACAACTAAAATGTACAGATATGTGCATCCAGTTAAATAAAATATAATTACCCTTTTTCAAAATGAATGAAAATCAAACACAAATATATGAAGTGAGTTGTGCCAGGATGCTGTTGTTTTTTTAAAATTGTATTTATTTGTTGTGGAAGTTTTTTTTAGGGAACAACAAATAAGGAACTTAATACACATCCATTTTTTTTCTTACATTTTCATATCATCTGATGACCAATAATATAAAATCAAAACATTTGTCATCGGGATTTTTTTTGGCCTTTTCTCACATAGGTTGCTTCTAATATCAGTGAGAAAAGGCTGTTTCAGATGAACTCTTTGTGATTATGATTCAGACTTTATGTAGTTATGACAACAAAGCTGCAAATGCTAAAACCATTTCATCGCCAGACAGTTTTCTAAAGGTACATTCATGCTGCCCATTGAACGTTTGCACATAACAGGACAAAGTTTCACACCATCCATCACTTCTCACCTCTGTCAGATACTCCCTTATGCTCTGCTCCAGGTCTTCTGGGATGTTCAGCGAAAGCGGCCGCCTCTCCCGCTCTCCGGCCTCCCTCACCTTCTCTTGATGGTACTTGGCGTGAGTCAGCGGCTTGTTGTTCTCGCCCAGCAGCTCCAGGTCCTGGACCAGGTGAACCACATGTTAAACACAGTTCGTAGGTTAACGTATAACCGTTTTCCAAAGTGAAGCTCACCTTCAGCTTCATGCAGGCGAGCGCCGCGGCCCTCGTCTCCGCCCTCATTCGGTTGTTTGCTGTGGCTGTGAACGTCATCCTCTCGGGCCAGAGCAGGGTCAGCTCACACTTCTTCAGCTTCCCTCCCGTCGTTTTGAACAGTATTTGCTCCTGTAGTAATATTATGCAGTTTAACTTACGATACACAACAAGTCAAAAGAAGTGATTAACTGTTGTGAAGGAAAAATTGCTTTCCTCTCTTGGAGTTAAGTGTCTAGAGATGGTACTGAACTTTTCCCCTTAGTGAGCTCCTTATGTAAAAGTAGTATTTGTAACAAACGTGTACTAATCTGTAAATCTTCTATAGATTCTTGACCTCATGTAGAAGCACTTCCTGTACCTCTCAAGGCCGGATTGCACCAAGGCGCCGGACTATCTTTGTTTTCCTCTTACCCATAAATCTACATGTGGTTCCCACCGTAAAAGACCAAAGGCGTGAGAGAATACTGACATTGCGTGAACTGCTGCTCTGTTAGTGTCACTTCTCCTGATCAGTAAAACTTATTTCAACCCAAATCATCTGAGTCTCCAGTGTGTCTCTCTGTGTTGGGTTCCTCATCCTACATCATTAGAAAAGGAGAACAGCTACCAACCCTGAGCCTGCTGGTTGAAGTGGCCACCTGGACGACCTGGGCCAGAAGAGTTTTAGGTTGTGGAAACAGAGAAAGAGCTTCAGAGACATCATCGTAGGCGTCTTCTCTGTGAGGAGACCATTTAGTCGCTTTGTCTTTTAACACATCATCTGTCCAGCAGTCTTCTTCGTTATCATGAAGGACTGATTGTAACCCTCCTCTCCTCCTGCCGGCTTTCCTGCTGGATATCTCATTATTTGGACCGATGACACCCATTTTCTATTCACACAGACGGGACACAAGGATTAAACATCACCCCAGATTAACAAGATAAAACGCAACTGTCCTCTTTGTTTAATCATCGCAACTTACTTTGAGTGTGAGACAGGCGGCAGCTGCAGCGAATCGCTCTGCATCGACCCTCTTGGAGGCATAGCCCTCCTCCTCAATCCTGCGGGGCCACGTCAATGTAACAGTGACTTTCTGCAGAAAGAACACAATACACATTTAACCATAAAAACATTAGCTTTCAAAAGACATGGTGGCTGCAGAGACGTCCTCTCATCGTGCCTCTGGCTCTGACCTTGACCCCCGCTTCCTCCGTGCAGCTGTACTTGATGATCCGGGACAGGTCGCTGACCCCCAGTGAGCTGGACACAGTGCTGTTCAGGAGGCCTTTAGGATCTGGGAACTCCTTCAGGAGGTTCCAGCTAGCTAAACAGTTTAAAAAAACAAACAGAGGTGAGACATACAGTAAGGGCAATGATGTTTTAGTATCTGTGTGAAAGAAATAAGTAAGTAAGTATAAGTGTGAAAGAAAGACCCTGAAACATAAGCATGATGATGGTTTCTACACATGGATGTCCTTGAGGCTCAATGCGGGCTGTCACCGGTTAGCTAACGTTAGCTTAGCTTCGTCTCACTCACCTCGGTCACTCTGAGCATACACCGCCCTGTGGTCCTGGAAGCTCCGAGCCTTGGAGCTACACCACCGCATGTCTCTGCCCCAACCGGACGCTGCTTCGCCGCCGGCACGAAGACATTTGCCAACATTACATAGCGCTCTGAGTCGCACGAGTAAAACACCGGGTGGCGCCATCTTTAAACTACAATTTCTTCTTCTGCGGTTTTTCTGCTCACGTGAACAACCGCGCTCAACAGCGACCCCTAAAGGCAGAACGTATAAATAACCGTCCACGAAAGTATTACACAAGATATACAACAGAATATTTAGATTATTTTTTTTAGGTTTTCCTTATAATTTTTTAGAGTCTCAGTTTAAATAATTTGAAAGGTGCACAACTTATTCCTAATGACACATTTCAGAGTTGATATAGTTTTATTCCTACATTTACTGAGTCAGAAACCACTGAGAAATCCTTAATTTCACAAGCTCTCAATTAACAAGTTAAGTGTATTACCTTAAATTTGAAATATTTGATAAGTCACTGAAGTTTTCAACTGAACAGCTGTGAAGCACATTCACTTCTGAAGCTGTAGTGACTCCTAATTAATGTGTTTATTAATTTTTCAACGGCAAAACCCAACCCGTACATTTCAAAAGATCAGAATTTCCAAGTAAAGCCGATTTCAAGAGCTTTTCCCTTAGTTTACACAAAAATCTGAAGTGTTTTTAAAAGTCTCTTGATTATAAATTTAAATTACTTTAGCTATATTAATGTATTTTTTAAGTTTGTGAAAGTTAGACACTAAATAAAACCCCTGAAAACATATATGATATATGACTTTTCCTTTTCTTTGAATTACCCACAAGAACCTACCAAATGCCTTAAAGATAATCATAGTTTCTGTGATTGGATCCAGATTTTAAACATCTGCATTGCATTGCATTAGTGAGATATCTGAGGCTGCACATAATCTATGCAGTTAAACGTTAAGCTACAGTCCGACTTTTTTTTTTTTTTGTAAGTACAGTACACACCACCTGTAGAGGGGAAGGAACACTCCCAGGCTACGTCTGGACTGATTCCCATAAATAGCTCCTCTTGATGACTCAGTTCTCTTGGATGAAGAAGAGATGGAGCTTGTACTCGTCCTGCTGCTGGCTGCCACAACTGGTAGGTTCTTCCTAAACATAACTGGTGATGGTAATGTGAAATAAACATGAAGCAAGCTGATGGGCTTGATTTAGGACATTCTGACATTACTTAGCCTGTCTTGGTTCTGTCTCGTTAAAGCGTCTGGGTGTGGTGTACCCAGTTACCAACCCAACACCGGCCGCGTGGTGAACGGTGAGGAGGCCCGTCCATACAGCTGGCCATGGCAGGTGAGGCAGTACAAACACAAAACAACCCTTACCTCAATTTCTCATACCTAAGAAACCCACATTTACTACTACCAAGACACTTTCTCCCAATCAGTGTTCATATTAATTTTCTATGCATTGCCACAAAATATTTACAGCACCTAGATATGGTAAACCCACATTACCTGAAAGGCAACGGCATGTTTCTCTTACATGCTGATCTGTAGTAAGTTTTCTTTAACACTTAGGTTTCTTTGGAGTCCTTCTTCCCCACTTGTGGAGCAACACTTATCGCCCCCGACTGGGTGTTGACTGCTGCACACTGCATCACGTAAGAAAAGCTTCTTTCTGGCATCACCTCGACCCTTCCTTATGTTATATCATTTTTTTGAAAGTTATGAATCATGTTTTTGTTTTCCGATCCAGGTTCCACACGTACAGGGTGGTTCTTGCTGAGCACGACATGAACAAGGAGGAGGGCCCTGAACAGTCCATCATGGTGGCAAAAATGTTCATCCATCCCAAATGGGACGACAACTGTGTGTCTTGCGGGTAAGTCGTCATTCTAGGTCCGAGTGTTCTCAAAACGTGGTGTTTTATCCAGAGGATTTATGTTAAACAGCAGCTGAGTAAATACAGTGCTTAACACATTTACTAGACCACCACCCAGTGTCAGGTTTATGCCACAGCTGCCCTAAATTAACAGCATTAGTAATTAGCAAAATCATTTTTTCTGTTTCTGTAATGGCTAATACACCAGTATGTGGAAGCTCTTGAACCAAAATGATATTTTTTAATGCTGAAATATGATTATTATTGTTATGTGTTATTAATTTTGCAAAAAACAGAAAAAATAATAACGTACATTATTATCTTTTGAATAAAATGTCAAATTATATATATATTTTTAATCAGTTTTTATTTTATTTAGATTTTTATGACTTGTGCAAAAGAGTAGACAATTTGCCATTTGTTCCAATACAATATACACATTAAGGTGACACAATAGGAAGCAAAAAATAAATAAATTTCCATTTCCAACTTTTCCATTTCTAGTATTTCTTCTATTAGAGATTATTAGCCATTGTTCATGATTTGGTGCTTTTGTCTAAAGCCAGTTCTTTGTAATCGCCGTCTTTGCTGCAGCCAAGAGAACTTTGGCCAGATACTGGTCATTTCTATGCACATTTCCTTCTAAGTGACCCAGATAGAGTGTTAGACAGGATTGGGGAGATTTTAGAACAAAGAACCTCACATAGAATAGTATATGTTTTGTATTTTCATGCAACTCCAAAATATGTGGTTATGATTTGGTTCTGTGTGGTTGCAAAGTCTCCAGCAGGTTGTTGAATCCAATTATAGATATTTACTTGCATTCCTGAGCAGAAAAATTAGCTTTAGTGGTTGAATGTGAGAAGTCCAGAGAGGCAGCTCAGATTTAAAAAGGTGAATTCAGTTTGAAATTCCTCATTCCTGTTCAAAAAGGTAAAACGTGGAGAGCTGAGGGTGAATTAAAGCACTTCATGATGCTGGATGGTCTTGACAGGTGGTCTAATAAACATATTAAGCACTGTATGTAAATGTAAACCTGTGGGGGGAAAAAAAGCAGCACTCTACATAATGAAATAGACTCAAAGCGACTGCCGTGTTCATTTCTTTGTTTCACCCTGTTGCACAGGAATGACATCGCTCTGCTCAAACTGGAAAAGAGTGCTGTCATCAACGACAAGGTTCAGCTGGCCTGCCTGCCACAGCAAGATGCTGCTCTCAGCCACAACCAGCCCTGCTACGTCACAGGCTGGGGTCGTCTCTACTGTAAGGCCCGCTGCTAACATCTGTGGCGTAGCGTATGTTTGTGTCATCCAAAATACGTCATTGCTCTGAACCCTGTAGCGACGCATCAAATATTATTCATATCCCAGTTATCATTACAACAAGCGTTTCCTTTTTAGCTGGCGGCCCTGCGGCAACGACGCTGCAGCAGGCCCTGCTCCCTGTGGTGGATCACAGCGTCTGCAGTCAAAGTGACTGGTGGGGTAGCTCAGCCAAGACCACGATGGTCTGCGCAGGAGGAGAAAGCAAGTCAGCGTGCCATGTGAGAAACAGTCACAGAGCTTTATATTTGTGTAAAACAAACGGATACTGTCGTTCACTGCCGTCTTCTTCCAGGGCGACTCTGGAGGCCCTCTGAACTGTAAGGGCAGAGACGGCAAATGGTACGTCGAAGGAGTGACCAGTTTTGTGGACGGACGCGGATGCAACACCCCTAAAAAGCCCACAATGTTCACCCGTGTGGCCTCTTTCATCCCCTGGATCAGTGAGGTGAGGGAAGCAAAATCAGCCCCCTGTACATAAACACATACAGGAGGCTCTTCTTTAATCGTGTGACCTTTCTTTTGCAGACGATGTCCCAAAACTGAAGAGGTTTTGAAGAAAAGACGAAGTGACCGAACGAGATATGAAATGTCAATACACTTCACTTTTATTTCCTTCAAATATTTACAAGGCTGTAAGAAAAATAAAGTATTTGTCAAATAAAGAAACAAATATTTTAATCAGTTTGTGCAAAATTTTCAAAGATGGGACAAAGGTCAGTGTTAACATTGGGAGATTTAACATAATAAAGTTTTAAATTACTATTTACTTACTGTATTTGAATGGATTTAGGACTCTATTACAAATATTTGTGAACAGAACTGAAATGTAAAGTTGTCATTTAATTTGAACAGAACACGATGACTGACTGATGGACTCTAAATGCAAATGAATGTGAAGATAATAATAATGTTTGTTTATGAAAACGCAGAAATATAAATGAATGTGGTGATAATAACGATCAGTTTATGAAAACTGTTAAGTGTGCATTCTCCGTCTACCGGTCATTTCTAAGCCCTGTTTTCTTTAAGCAGCGTGGGTTTAAGGGCTTTAAGCAGAGCAACTTAACACAAAGACATTCATGAGTCTGAGCGCTTCCGTGTGAAGAAGTTAACGTCCCGCAGCTCCTCAGGTAAGTACTCCTGCTCTACGGGGGCGCTGAAGGCCGGGTTGTATTTGTAGCCTTTAGCGTAGCCCAGCTGCTTCATCAGCTTGGTGGGGGCGTTGCGGAGGTGCAAGGGGACGGACGGTAGGGGGCCTTTGTGGTTCCTCATGCAGGCCTTCACGTTACTGTAGGCCTGGTAGATCTCCACAGACTTGGGCGCTCGTGCCAAGTAGACCACGCACTGAGCCAGAATCACCTGGCAGCAAATGAAGGACAGAAGGTAAACACACCAGGAAACAACTTTTGTGACTGACAGAGTCGATACGTTACGATTAAAGCGACTGGTTGGCCGGGTGATCCTACCTCACACTCGGGCATTCCAATGAAGTGGCAGGCTTGGAAGGCGGACACAGCCTGAGAGAGGGCGGCGGGATCGGCCAATCCTGAGAAAGACAAAGAGGCAACGCGTTCAGTCACCCTAAAATATAAGCAACATTTAAAAAAAATAAAATAAAAAATCAGTATTAAGCATCTTTGTGCATGCATTTCTTGCCTACTCAGCATTTTCTTTGCTGTAAAACTTTCACACTTTAAGCGTCACATTCCTGTAAAGTTTTCCCATAGTTTGAAAAGTGCTCAATCAGAAAACATTTGAGGGGTTTAGATTCATCAGGAAATTCACCAGCAACAAAGAAACAACCACTAAATAACATATAATGCACTCCTGGAAGCTCCGTCCTCACAGCCATCTTGATGTCGTCCATGTCTTCTAAATGGGTCCCCTTGATGACCCCCTTGAGCTTGGAGAAGAGAAAACAATCCCATCAAGCCAGGTGTGGTGAGTAGGGAGGATGCCCCAGCATGGTGATGATCTTCTCAGCCAGGAACTGTGGGATGCTCAGGGCGTCGTGAGCAGGTTGTCATGGTGAAGCAGCCACAACTCTGCCGCTTCACTGAACGAAGCAAACGCTGCAGGATCTCTTTGTAGATGTGCTGGTTGATCGTCTAAAGGGGAAAACTCCTGGTTTGTAGTTTGGGTTTGAAATATATCTTTTGTGACCCCAGTCCTGGAACTTCTCTGACACGCCTCGTAGTAACTGGTAGCTGTATATCCGCATGATTACAGTCATAAAATAAAATTATAAAACAATAAAGATAATCTGGGTTCACCTACCCACATCCTCGCTGGCGAAGCGGATCAGCCTGCGAGCCACATAGAGCGGATCCTCGCCGCCCTCCAGCATGCGGCCCAGCCAGTACAGGGAGGCATTCTCATGGGAGCCTCTCATAGACTTATGTAACGCCGAGATGCAGTTGTAGTGCTCCTCACCTTTGAGTAAGAAAGAAGGTCGTTCTTCAGGTGGCACCATTTTCCCAAACATTCATCGGCGTTTGAAGGACATTAATACATATCAACTCAATTTGGAAATACTAAAACAAAGGAACCAATAAAGACTGATCAGACTAAATAAAAGGGCGACTACTGTCTCTATTAAGGTCACCAGTCAAGCTGAGGGACGGTTTCATCACCCTGTGAAGCCGGGAACAGTAAAGCTCAATCTTTTGGGACAGCTGAGGGTTACGTAACAGGACAGCATGAAGGACTAATGAGTCTAACGGAGGGAGTTATCCACGAATGCTCAGCAAAAGGCAGAGACGACTGGCTACAACTACACTATGCAGATTTTAAAAACTATTAATAAACACAGTGCCGATGGTACTGAAGAGAACAAAAAAACACTCTGCATGAGTTAGACATCAGAGTTAGGAAATCACCAAATTACAGCAATTTGGAGGCTTATCAATCAACAACAAACATATGGTACTTCTAAGGTTATGAATAGCTCCAGGTTGCATGTTTTGTTGTATTTTTTCCTTCTTATCATTCAGTGTTTTCCACATGAAAGCCCCATGAAGACACAGTGATCACAGTTAGGGGAGAGGAACATGATAGGGCTGTTAAGCTCAAAGCATGAAGCTACTGAGGTGAAGATATCGATGGCAGGTGTTACACTGAAGCTGCTGGGAGAATTTTAAAGATGCAGATTTGTAAAATATGTAGAATTGTGCCCTTGTGCTGACTAATATGTGCCCTAAAAAAATCCTTTTAATATGCCTTTTGGTTTTATGAAACCCTCTTTGTCCCTGACCAATTACTGCCAGTGTTTCAGAGTTAGAGACTTCTGCCCAGTTTGAAGTTGCAGCTTAATTGATTCAAGTGTGTTTGAACAAGAAAGTGCTCCAATATCTCATTCAAAGCAGAGGTTCCAAACCCCTTGGCCATGACATGACATTTGCGTTGGAGCATTTGCTATTGGACCACCTTTGGACACCAAATTTTAAGTGCATTTCTTTTTCTTTCTCCTCATACAATAAAAAAAAAAAACCTGTAAACTCGGAGTGGAAATGCTTTTTGAGAGTATCAGATTAGTCTGACATGAGACAGGATGTTTAGAAAAAGACAGTTATATTTGGTGACAAGAACACAGGGTTCAGTTTAGGAATATGTGAGTTGGAATTATTATTCATGACTGGCTGTAGAGTGATCTAGACTAAAGGTCAGACAGTTTCCACAAAAGAAACTGAGCAGAATTAAGGTTCATGGGAGTTTGTTTGAAGAAGAATAAGACCTGCAGCATTGATAAGGTAGGTACAGTGAGCTTACCGGCTCTATCATAGAGGATATGGGACCTCTGGAGACCCTCCTTGACGTGATCCTCCGTCACCACTATCTCTTGAGGAGAACCGTTCGATCGGACCAAGCTCACCTGAGCCTGAACAGCCAGCTGCAGACTGTTCAGTCCCGTTCTTGCGTCACCATCACAGAGGTGGGCTATCGTGTCCATGGCTTTCTGTTCGATGTAAATCTTTGTCCTAAAAACAAGAATACACAACAAATATACTGTATCAGTGTTAATATGTTTTAATATAGATGCTAGGAATAAAAAAAAAAAATCCTAAATCAATAGTGAATCATAAATATAAATGTTATAATTACAGTTCTTCTCATTTAATTAGTCTGAAAATGTCTGACGATGCAGCATCACTGTTGCCAAAACAACCCCGAAGTGCTCTCCATCTCAAAAATGTCTCTAAATGAGACAAATCCCTGAATGCACCATGACTTTTCAGTTTATTGCAAGCGTAGCACTTTTGTCCTGGATGCCTGGATTCTGTAGAAATGACTCATTTTCCCAGAGAGCTGTGTAGTTGTCGACCCATTTTGGTCCGATCCTCTGAACCAAACCTGCTCCTCTGCTGCATGAATATCGGTTACCACGGTGATGCATCCAGGATAAAAGAAAGCCGGCTTCACTCTCGTTAAAGCCTCAGCTGAGCTGCCTAACCCTTTAATCTCAATATGTGCTACAGGCCCAGATTTCAGTGCATCCAGAACAATACAGTCAACACATGGTTCTGACAGTTGTCTCACGCAGTAAACAGCTGTCTGCCACTTTACCTATTCTGTCTACGTATGAGCCCCAATCAGAGCTGAGGGGATTGCTGTGGCTCCAACAGCTACTAGTGCACGCCTCCCATATATCACAGAACTGAACCCACTAATCCAGGAACAGAAGAAAAGAGAAGGCATCCCACTTGAACAAAGAATTTTAAAATGTTGTGCGTGACACCCCAGCGAGCAGCGGCATTGGAGCACTCACTCGTTTCCATCTGTTGAGCCTTCATCTTTGGGATTCGCTGGATCTCGTCCCAGGACTCTGATCCCAAGCGTGGCCACAGCCCGGTCCAGGATCGAGCCCATTGCTTCCACGGACAGCTTCTCCAGAACCAGCACCCTGCACCTGCTCAGCAGGGCAGCGTTCACCTGGAAGGACGGGTTCTCAGTGGTGGCTCCGATCAGAGTCACCGTCCCGCACTCCACATGGGGGAGGAAGGTGTCCTGCAGATACAGAAGTAAAAGGAGTAAAAACCGAAAAGGCAAGAAAAAAAGACGAAGATTGTGCATCTGGGAAGTCATGCAATATCAAAGGGTGAGTTTTCTACGACTTCAGGGGATTTGCGATCACGAAACAAAACCACTTTCACTTCTATACTGTGCATTTTTAGGCTTGTAAGGTCATTAAACATGGATTTGGACAGGTCCTTTTTTAAAATCTGATGTGAGGATTTACAACTCAGGAGTTCCTAGACTGGTTTACAGAAAGCCGTTCGATTCAAGATAAAAGTGACAGATGCAAGAAGAACTCTGAGTAAACTGAAAAGAATCTGAAAACTGCTTAAGATATCCACACTCTTAATTTGTCTGTGTAGGAATTAATGTAGGCAATAGATAGAACATTGTCAAACATGATCATCTTAACAACAAATCTATTGATAAAGACACAGACGATGGTGCGACTTCATACGTGTGATGCAAAAACGGAGGATAAATCCAAACACTGCTTGGCTACCTGTCGTATGAGACTTGCATCTGATATTTACAGACTGTAAGCGGACCACACATTTGTGGCTCACCTGCTGGGATTTGTTGAAGCGGTGGATTTCGTCGATGAACAGGATGGTCTTCCTCTTGCACAGCCGGAGCTCATTCTGCGCCTGCTTGATCACCTCTCGGACGTCGTTGGTGGAGGCGCTGGTGGCAGACAGAGGCACAAAACGGGCCGTTCCCTTCTTTTTACTGGTGCTGGCAATTATGTGGGCGAGAGTGGTCTGACAGGCAGCAGGTGACAAAGGGAAGAAATTGGATTAAAATAGGCACAGCACAGAGGCAGATCATGTAATACACCTTTCTTTTTGAGCGTCTCTGTCATCTCCAGCTTCAGTTTAATGGGGAAACCTGAGCGCCAGCAGACAAATGACAGGCGCAGTTAAAGAGGTAAAGTGTTAGTGGAGCATGTTGACAAAGTCTGAGGATGGCGAGCGGCAAGACAACAATCCGTGTTAGTAGCTTGGCATAGCTAAGAAGTCATTAACATGCTGTGATCACACCCTGATGAGGAGAACAAGCCCTGAGCTCACAGCCACAGGTGGTGTGAGTCACTCTGTCAACGTGGCATAAAAGCTTTATATCGTTCCACCAGTCTGCAAGCTTTAGTTCAAAAATAAAACAAAAAATAAGACTGGTGTATGCTCGCAGCTCCGCAGTTAAATGGCATGTTTAAACAATGACATGAATGGTTTAATAACACTGGAATATGTGGAATAATGTGGTTTTATTTTTAATTCGAGCAACATGACCTCAAGCTTTTCTCCAATTGATAAGCTGCATTTTTCATCCAGTCAACATTCTAACACCACCTATATGCAAAATCTACATCTATTGGTATTTTTTTTAAACAATTCTCGTCCTTACCCGCAACGATTTACACAGTTTTGTTGTTTTCTTGCATTTTAAAGATCAAACAATAATTTGTCAATCAGTTAATTTTCATAGTCATGTCCATTTTCAAGCAAAACTAACAAAACCTTTGCTCCTAATGTGACATTTTTCTTTTTAATAACAAATTGTAAACTGAATGTTTTGATGTTTTAAAAAGTTAATGAAAGAAAACAAGTAATCCGAACACATCCTGTCCAGCTTTCAGGCAGACTTCATGATTTTATGACACTTCATGGCCAATCATCAACTGACAAAATAACTAATTATTTGCTTCAGCCTACGTTAAATAAGTCAACAGATTAACCAACTGTGAAAATAATCCTGTTCATAGTTTCAAGCTTTGGTTGAAGCTATTTGGGGGGTAAGAATAACATCAGAGGGAGAGCTTAAAGGATTTCTGGATGGACAGGAGAGTAATCAGCAGGGATTTTTGATTACAGACGTCTAGAATTTAATAACCTGAAAATGTGTGATTTCACCTTATTAATGAATAGAGAAAATAATTAGTGGCACGTGTTGAGCTGCTGCTGTTAAGCTCCAGTGATGGAAGAACATCTGACTGAGAGACACCAGAACAGATCATCTGGATTACATGTGAAACAGTTCAACTCTGAGCCATGAGGCCAGAGATGCTGCATCACACCGGACGCTTCCCCTCCGCTGCCCGCTGCACACCTTTCCACAGCCCGGCGGTCCCCACAGGATGATGGACGGGATTTCCTGGGAGTCGAGCAGCGAGCGCAGGAGCGTTTGCTGGCCCACGACTTTATTCTGACCGAAGTACTCGTCCAGCGTGTTGGGTCTCAGCTGATCCGCCAGAGGTTTGCCTGTTTTGAACAAAGTCTGGGGCGCTGAATCCCGAGCTGTCCTGCCACTCTCCTCTCCGCGCTCAGCGTCGGTCAGTGAACGCTTCACCCCCTGGTTGACAACACCGGTGGGACTTTGTTTACTCGTGAAAAACCCGTTGCGTTCATTCTGAGCGGACGCTTTGCTCTTGTTGGTGTGAAACAGAGGAAACCGCGCTGACGGGGAAGATGAAGATGAGGAGGTGGAGGAGGAAGAGGTGGCCGCGGACTTGTTGTCAGTCTCGATGCGACTTTTCTTTCCCGGAGGTTCGCTGTCGTGTGTTGTGGAGCCGGAGCCCGTCAGCAGACACGCGTCCAGGTGTCCGTTAATCGTGGCGGTGGTAAACTGTTTGGAACAAAGTGGACATTGCACCGAAGCGTCCGTCATGCTGGCCGCCATCTTGTTACCCGCGCAACTTTTGACCTGTAGTCACGTGACCAAAACACAGTTTCGATATTAAACTTATTAAAGTTGTTCTTGCCTCAGATTTAGACTCAGACTGTAAAACCAGACGCAACTATTCATTTTTATTTTTATTTTTGTTACCAGCTAGTTAACTATAAACGAGTGTACGGTTATGTTTATTTAACACTTTTACTCTACTTCCTGTTTTCCTTCCTGTCCGTGTGCGTTCACGTGCCGAGGAGACGGTCGGTCATCTGGG